CTTCTTCTTCTTCTTCTTCTTCTTCTTCTTCTTCTTCTTCTTCTTCTCGAGACTTTGTTGCTCTACTCCATCTTCCCCTTCTTTTTCAGCTTGTCTTCCTCCATCCTCCTCTTCTTCTCACTTGATCCTTCAGCCTCATCTCATTGTCTTCAGTCTTCCCATCCTTCACCCCTTTCATCTTGACCCACACTTTGCTGCCCTTCTCATCCTTTCTTCTCTCCTCAACTTTCAAGCTCTCCTCCCCTCCGCTTCTCTGTCTTGTTCTTCCTCCTCCTCTTCTTCTCCACCTTCACGCTCCCCTTCCTCCTTTCCTTCACTCTTCCCCCCTCTTCTTCTCCCTTCACCTTCATTCACACCTTCCTCCTTTCCTTCCTTCTTCCCCCCTTCCTCTCCTTCCCCTTTCTCCCTTCTTCTTCCCCTCCTTTTTCCTCCTCCTCTTTCTTCTCCACCTTCACTCACACCTTCCCCCTTTCCTTCCTTCTTCCCCCTCCTCTCCTTCCCCTTCCTCTTCCCCCTCCTCCTCTTCTTCTCCACCTTCACTCACACCTTCCCCCTTTCCTTCCTTCTTCCTCCTCCTCTCCTTCCCCTTCCCCCTCCTCCTCTTCTTCTTCCCCCTCCTCTTCCTCCTCTCCTTCCTCCTCTTTTCCCCACCCTCCCGACCAGCCAGGCTCGCCTCAATCACGCCAACATCACCCTGTTTCTCGCGCCCGCCCGCCCGGCCTGCCTGCCCGCCCGCCCGGCCTGCCTGCCTTCCAGGAAGCGCCGCCGCCGCCGCCGCTATGCATTGTGGGGCAGCGGCAGCAGATCCAAGATGGCGGCCAGCAGGAGGCTGATGAAGGTAACATCCAGGCTGAGGCCGCCGGGCCGGGGCCGGCGAGAGGCGGGGCGCGGGCGGGGAGGACGGGCCGGCCCCTCGGCCGGCCGAGCCCAGGGTGGGCGAGCGGGCGAAAGGACCGCCGGCCTGGGGGCAAAGGGGCGGGTGTCTCTCCTCTCGCTTTCGGGAAGCCGCTCGGCTTTCGGGGCCGCGCCGGCGAGGTGCCGGGGCCGCGCTTCCGCCGGGCGGCCGGGGCGGCCCCGCCGGAGCCTGAGGCGGGGCGGCGGCGGGAGGGGGGCGAGGAGAGGGGCGAGGAGGCCTCTCGCGGGGTCGCGCGCCGCGTCGATGGCGGCGCGGGGGGGGGAAGTTGAGGGGGGGGGGCTCTCACTTCCTAAGGGGGGAGGGTGACTAAGCAAAGCGGGACAAGGAGGGGGGGGCATCTGAGGTGAGAGACCGCCCCCTCCCCTCAAGGAGGAGGGGGTCAAAATGGGCCGGGGAGGAGAGAGAGAGAGAGAAAGAGGGAGGGGCCCTCCACCTCCCCCCTCCCCCCCCCGCGCATCTTCGGATGGGCGGCGGCGCCTCCTGACGTTACGAAAGCGGCTTTGGGCGAAGTGGGGGCCCGAAGAGGAGGCCCAGCTGGGATGCTTTGCCTGCCCCCCCCCCACACCCCCCATTCATCAGCCCAAAGGTTTTTCCTTGGAAGTGTGTGTGTGTGGGGGGGGTTTCCTTCCCTTTCTTGGGGGAGGGAAAGGGAACCACTAGGAGATCCTCTCTGAAAGCTGGGTGGTTTTCTTGCAGAGACGTTTCCTGACCCAACTAGGTAACATCATCAGGGCTAGGAGGGAAGGGGGTTTGTGGAGAAGAGGAGGAGGAGTAAAAAAGGAGGACTGTGGGGTCCTTGGTGCTTCTCTGAGCTGGGGTGGGGGTTGTTTCTTCCTGACATTTCATGACCCAACTAGGTAACATCATCAGGTTAGGTGGGAGAGGAGTTTGTGGAGAGGAGGAGGAGGAGGAGGAGAGGAAGGCAGCTATGGGGTCTTTGGTGCTTCTCTGAGCTGGGTGGGTTTTTTTCCCAACATTTCATGACCCAACTGAGTAACATCAGTGCTGGTGAAAAAACTGAAATGGTAACGAAAGGACCCAATAGCTTTCTTCCTCCTCCTCCACCACTACCATAAACCACCTTCTGTAGAGCTGATGATGTTACTTAGTTGGATCATGAAACGTCTGCAAGAAAACCTCCAAGCTCAGAGAGCACCAAGGAGCCTGTCAACATCATCATCATCTCCTCCTCCTCCTCATTGCAAACTCTTCTCTTTTAGTACTGATGATACTGTCTAGTTGGGTAACGAAACGTCTACAAGAAAACAACCAAGCTTAAGCAGCACCTTCCCCCATCCTCAGCCCCTCAAAGCTTTTCTTAAATTTAAATAATCTATTTTTTTAGTGTCAGATAGTAAATGGAATTACATCATAAGCAAATTGTCTGCTTCACACAGTATGCTCAATCCTGCCTCCACCACCCAAATTTCACCCCCCTAAACTAAGGTTAACTTGTCGTGGGAATGTAGCCTTAACTGACCTGCTGGATGCTATTGTGCAAAGTTTGCAGGTTGAGAAGGTTGGTTTGGTCTTCATTTATGTTATGTGCTCATCCTAAAGTTTCCTGGTCCCTGAAGTTGCTTTGTTCAGCCATAGGAAGACAATGTAAAAGGATTGGGTTTATTAACTTCCTGGATTATGTAAAGTAGAATATCCATAAGAACAGGTTTGGCACAATAAAGGCAACAAAGCGGTCCATTTGGATCTTAAAAAGAATAAGCTGGCAGGAAAGAACTACAAGTCACATAGTCGTAACACTACACTGCGCCAAATGGGGTTTCCACGTCTTAAAATCTATAAACATTCATATCAAATAATCCAATATAATTTATTAGGTAAGAGCATAACTATATCAGTATCAGAAGGTAGTAAGAAACCTGCTTAGGCATCACATAAATGAGTTTGAGATGCATTTTCGTTTTCCTTCTTTTTATAGCAGGCTATCTGCTGTCTAGCGCTTGCTTTCACTTTCACTTTCTAACTTCATCCTGTCTAGCATGCGAGGTTTAGGAAATTTCTATTAGGAGTCTGTAGGAATGGACCTTTTATGGTATATTCCTTGCTGTTAATAGGAGTTTTTTTTTTTAATATTCGGGTAAAGCTTTTGCTAACATTGCGTCACAGCAGCAGAGATGTGAAGTTGGCTACCACACCTTGATTCAACTTTTTGCTTTAGAAGGTTTAAGTCTCTCATTCTTTTTCTTTTTATATACGATTATAGATTTGGGGTAACCCTCTTAACGTTTTAAAACTCCATGAACAGGATTTAGTTAGAAGAATTCAAGAAATACTTGGACTTTTAAGTAATGATGTCACTAATATAATTCTTGCTAAGTGAGACAGTTATGGATATAATTCTCACAAATCCTGCCAGGAATTAAGCATTTCTCCCACATTCATCCACCTACAGAGTAGTCCGGGTTGGTGTTCCTGTAAACTTGGAGAAGGGGGAAATCTGATTTTATAGATACAGTCCATCCATATTATTAATTTTGTCATGTACTCTGTACTTTATTGTAATTGCTTGCTTAGGTACTCATATGTCAAAGTCATATCCTTGCAGTTAACAGCAAAAGTAATTTCCTTAAAGAATATGGCCGTTTCTGTTTTTAACCCTCTGTTCACTTGCACATTTATAACTAATAAAGGTAGTCCTCAACTTACAACAGGTTACTGACGGCTCAAAGTTACAACGGCCTGAAAAAAGTGATTTATGACTGTTTTTCATACTTAACGATTGTTGCAGCATCCCATGTCATGTGATCAAAATTCAGATGCTTGGCAACTCATTTATGACAGTTTTAATGTCCCTGGATCATGTGATTCCCTTTGTACTTCTGACAAGCAGTGTCAATGGGGAAGCGAGATTCACTTAATAACCACAATAATTTAATAACTGCAGTCATTCACTTAACAACTGTGGCAAGAAAGCTGATAAAATGAGCCGAAGTTCACTTAACAACTGTCTCACTTAGCAAGAGAAATTTGGGGCTCAGTTGTCATAAGATGAGGACTACCTGTAACCTAAACTGAAGAAGCAAGAAGATACTTAGAGTCCATTGCCATTTTACATGCAAAAAATGTACCCGATTTTAATACATTCCCAACCCAGATACAATGGTGATATACAATTAACAGCTGACAGCAAGATCAGTATATTTAATCATACAAAACCTGTTAATCAGAGCTAGAATACAGAGCCAGTTTGGTCTAGTGATTAACACACCAGGCTAGAAAGAGGAGACTGAATTCTAGTCCTGCCTTAAGGCTTGAAGACCGGGTGTCTTCGGCCCATTCAGTTTCTCTCAACCAATTCACTTCACAGGGTGGTTGTGGTTGTGCTGAAAATAGGAGGAAGATACTTTGAATATGTTTGCTGCCTTGTGTTATGTATAACAATAATACAGGTGGGATACAGATGCATACATGAATCAAACATTGCTTATTTCACAGAAATTATTTGAGGATATTGAAACCCCCAATAACCTGTAGTCTTATAACATAGGATAGTAGATCTCATATTGAATAACTATGTTTTGGATGTTAATGTAATACAGAGTTTGCAGGTTCGTTTAGTACTGGGTTTGTGTTCCCTCATTTTGTGTGTGTATGTGTGTGTGTATAATGCATGCATATATATATATATATATATATATATATTGCTAATACAAAGGGTGTTGTTTAACTCAAAACGAAAATGAATATTAAAATTCCATGAGCTAAGCAAAGAAATGTTCCTCCCTGGCCTTCTTTTGGCGCACTTGTCGATTTAATATCTGTGAATTGTAGTTTTTTTTAAAAAAAAAAAAACTCTCCCTTTAATCTTTGTGCCTTTAAGTAGCACAGGGTATTAAACAGCTGATTGCTCATTAGGTCTGTAATTCAAGCCTGCCTTATCTTAATATTAATTTCAGGCAGAGTTGACAGGACGATCAGAACCTCTGAAAGTTTCTGGCTCGCTTTATAGCGACTGATTTTAATACAGATGTGACTTGTGTTCCTACTCCTGAACTTGTGACGGGTTTTTTGTTTTTTTAATGTCACAAAGAGGAATGCATGCTATAAAAAGTTTGGAATCACCTCACAAAGCAACGATGCGTTCAGAATGGTAATTCTGCAGATCATCCGTTTCCCCCCCACCCACGCTCATTTACATAGAGATGCCTAAATGGAGGTTTATTTATTTTATTACATTTATATCTCACGTTTCCTGTGAGGCATTGGCAGCAGCATTATTACTCATCGCTTTAGCCTTTTACAACACTGTAAGATCACAGTTGGGCTGAGAAAAAGTTACCAGTCAGAATTACCCAGTAGATCCAGAGTGAGAGGTTATCCCCAATCCCCTGTTTAATTATGTGCTCAACTTGAAATATTTCTCTTTTTTGAAAGAAGTACGCTCTGAAATAATTATTCTTATGGGTGATTTTGATCTCACTTTGTACATGGAGAACGGAATTAATTATAAAGTAGAAGTTGCTAAACCTGGTTATTAAAAGCCAACTTCCTACAGGCAGGAATTGCAGAATCTTCAACCTTGCAGATGTGAGGCTCCAGCATACCTAAGCCTAAATACCGTGGTTAAGTCACCAGGAATGAAGCAGGCTACAATCCACCAATAACCTTTGAAATTCCCAGTCCATGCTACATGCGAAGGCAAAATATTTTTTTAAATTTCCATACTGAAATGGAGGGCCGAAATCCATAAGAAGCATTCCAAATAATAAAGTGCATCCTTCCCACAATAGGGGACTTTTAGACAGCACAGTTAATGTTTCCTGAAGACTACACTTATTTAATTTTCCTAACCAGAACACTGGAGCTAGGAAATAGATGTTACCTGGTGGTGGGGTCATCCATTCGTATTTACTACTCCCAAAAAACCTGATGCCTGCTTAAATGTTAGAAACCGATTGAGCCCAAAATTTCTGCTGCAAGAGCCATCAGTTTATGACAGTCTCAGATCACAGCTAAGTAAAACATTTGTTAAGTGAATTTGCCCCTTATTGCGTCCTTTTCTGGCCTCCAGTGGTTGAGTGAATCCCTGTAGTTATTAAATTAGTCAAATTGTTGTTAAGCGAATCCTGCTTTTCCCCTTCCCCCATTGCAACCGACGTAAGTACAAGTCAGTTGCCCAGCATCCAAATGTAGATCGTGTGACTATGGGGATGCTGCAACGGTCGTATGCGTGAAAAACAGTCCTAAGTCACTTTTTTGACTTAGTTGTAACTGAATGGCCACTAAATGAACTGTTGTAAGTTGAGGACTACCTGTATTTTGAGCTTTTTCTTCTGTTTTTTTTCTTATATTTTAACACAGTCAACAACCTAAAATGTAACCTTATTTGTGTAAAAAACAAACACACACACACAAGCAATTCTCTCTTGCAACAGAGTAGTCAAAATCTATTTTTCATTTCAAAACCCCCCAGATAAATAAAAGCCTTCCCCTCGCAAGAAGGGTCATAAAGAGGAAACTCAGAGGCTTCCCAGAGGTTTTAAGTGATCAATGTTAACTTTCTTTTATTCCCAGGATTTGCCTTTCTGGGGGGTAGATTAAAACGTCCAGGCATGGGAAAACATGTCAGATATAATAACTAAAGCTACACATTATAGGTAGTCCTTGATTTATGACCACAACTGAGCCCAAAGTTTCCATTGCTGAGCGGGATAGTTGTTAAGTGGGTTTGTGCTAAAAATAGATCCTAATATAGAATTTAGCGGTTTGATGGAAAGAAAATACAGACCTGAAAATTGTTGGCATACCGGTGGCACTTTTTAGTTTGGGCCTAGCCTTGTTATAACTTTAAAACTATGGTTTATTGAATAAGCCTTGTTAGCTGAGCTCATGAAGTCGGTCTCTTTGTCTCTCTATCCTATCTATCTTATCTCTATATCATTTATATCGATCGATCAATCTTATTTGCTACCCATCTTGTAACAGAACTACTCTGGGCAGCTTACAGCATTAATTAAATCATAATTATCCACTCAGTCCTTTCTTCACTGCGAGATGGATGGCAAATAAATTTGATAATAATAAAATAATAATGTTTTATAAATCATAGATGGAAACGGCTTCAGTCCTTAGAGATTGAATTAGAAAGGGCCAGGTAGCATTGCAGCTGAAGCAAGAATCGTAGTGGTTTTCTTAGGAAGCCAGAGGTATACCCAGGGTTTGAAGTTGGCTAAGGGTTGTTGATTTTAAAGTCCCAAAAGGGTAGAAACTGACATAAATGCTGGTTTATTCCTTATTAACAGTCCCCACTAGTGGGAAGAACCAAATGGATATTCACAGTGACTCAGAAGTGTTCATGTGACCCATATGACACGCACACCAACAATAAATGTCCCCACCCAAGGTCACAGATTCTCACATGAGTCTTGTGGCATTTTCTTTTCAGTTGAAATGAACTGAAAAGAAGCAAGATAAATTGGCCTGGGTTTGGATGAAACTCTATGTAAACTTGTACGGGAAGTGTAATATACGGAACGCTGGGTATTATCAGCAAACAGTGACACAACTCTTAAAACTTTCCTAGCCACATAATTACGACATCATCTTTAATACTACCAAGGGTGATGCCAACTCCTTGGGAAATTCCTCACTGCTGAACTGGCAGGCTAGTGACTTTTTAAGTTCTCTGTCTTTTTTTTTTTTTTCAGTTCTTGAATCCAGAGCGTTCAAGACGGTTTGAGAGGTTTACTCTAATTTGGCTTTGAATTTCTGCCTTCCAAGACAAGGAAACAGCAAGCTGGTTTATTAGCCTACACAGCTAAATTGTCAAACATTTACTTGGCTGAACGCCTGCATAAGCTGAATGCATCAGGCACACCCATGAAACCAATGCAATATTTTCACAGTGCAGGTCAAATCCCTCATGAGAGATTTCTATTTTTGTTAGCGGTGAGCGTAGCTAATTATATCCATCTACTCTGTGGATTTTGTGGGTGACTCCTGCTCCAACCAAATCTTCATGGTTTCACCAGATCAGGTCAATTCATAATGGTGATGGACCCAATCTCGAAGCAGAATTAGAGAATAAGAGTTGGAAGTGTCCTTGGAGGTCATCTAGTCCAACCCCCTGATGGGTTGGGTGGATGTGACCGGCAAGAGACGGTTACCCTTCAGATCACCTGGTCCCAAGCCAGGAAGGGCTTTAAAGGTGACAGTCTGCACCTTGAACTGCCCTGGAAGTAAATCGGCGGCGGCTGGAAAAGCTGATTGTACAGGTAGCTCTCAACTTACAACAGTTCATTTAGTGACCGTTTGAAGCTACAGTGACACTGAAAAAAGCAACTTCTGACAGCTTTTCACATTATGACTGTGGCAGCATCTCCGTGGACATGTGACCCAAAGCTTGGCAACTGACGCATATTTATGATGGTTGCAGCGCCCTGGGGTCGTGCGATCCCCTTTTGCAGGTCGATGGGGAAGCTTGATTCACTTAACAACAACTGCAGTGGCTTACCTAACAACTGGGGCAAGAAAGGTCGTAAAACTAGGGCAGAACTCACTTAACAACTGTCCCCCTCGGCAAGAGAAATTCGGGGCTCCATTTGGGGTCATAAGTCGAGAGCTGCCTGTGTAACATAGTGACAGAATACTGGCTGGTATTAAGTCTGAATTCTCTGTGAAAGCCAAACAGAGGAATTGGGCCTTTTCCAGATTGATCCTGATTTTAGCTATCCCTTCCGTATCTCCTTGTAGTAAACCTGTAGCATGACAAGAGGAAGAAAAAAGGGAGAAGACCGACTGGGAGACAGTTTGACTTTGACTAAGACGATATGAAAGTAAAAATAACCCATGTGTTTTCCTGAATATTACAACTGGTTATTTTGGCTGATGTGGTTAATATGCTTCTCTCTCTCTCTCTCTGCTCGGCTTGTAGGAGCTTGAAGAAATCCGCAAATGTGGAATGAAGAATTTCCGTAATATCCAGGTGGACGAAGCTAACTTATTGACTTGGCAAGGGCTTATTGTTCCCGTGAGTGTGAAAAGTAACCTCTTGTAATTGTTAAAATAGTGAACTCTCTAATTTTCCTTAAATACCCTGACACCTTTAGCTTGGTCCTTGCAGAACAGGCCGAGCGAATCCGTGGCGATTTCCAGAGTGAAGAACAAAAAAGTATTTCTGTGCGAATGACACCCGAATAATTAAATTAGCTGCCATCCATCTTTGCATTAAAAGAAAAGTATTTCTAGTTTCTAAAGCCCTTAAACCTCTAAATCGTTGCACAGTGGTTAAAACTTTAAAAGAGAAACCCGGCCCGAGAGAAGCTCCTGTTGTAGTGCAGCTAACAAGATACAACAACAATGGGGGGGAAAATGGATATGAAGGAAAAATGAAAGGGGGAAAAAGCACGCCACAAGCCTTAAAAGCTTCAAAATGGGCCTTAGAATAGCCAGCTCAAATAGCAACTATGGTGACGGGTTTGTTTCTAGCACCCTCCAAGAATCCCAGCATTCAGCATAATATGCAGGTATGGGAAACATAGAATTTATTTCAAGAAATTTAGATTTCATTCCCTATCACAGAATCTATACCTGTCCCTTATATCCCACAGGTCTTGGGCAGGGTAGGAAATGCTCTCTTAAGATAGTCCTTGGGTTACAACCATTCATTAGTGGGCATTTAAAGTTAACAACGGCATTGAAAAATAACTGATGACCGTTACAGCATCTCCTTGGTCACGTGATCAGAATTTGGGCAGTCGGCAACTGGCATGTACTTATGACTGTTGCACGGTCCTGGGGTCACGTGATCACCCTTTTTAACCTTTCCCAGCCGGCCTCCAACAAGCAAAAGCCAATGGGAGAAGCTGAATTCATTTACTGACTGTATGATTCATTTAACAATTGCAGTGAATCACTTAACCCCCGTGAGGGGAGAGTCATAAAACGGGACCCAACTCACTTAACATCCACTTCGTTTAGCAACAGAAATGTTGGATTCAGTTGTGATCGCACGTTGAGGACTACCACCAACTTGTCATTCTTGGATTCAAAAGTGATTTCTTTTATGGCCTTAAGGGCCACTTTTGTAAATGTTAAAGTCTCCTTGAATTTGAGGACTAGCTGCATGGCCAGACAGTTAAATTCCAGGTCTAAAGATCTGCCCCACGTAAATTTGAAACCCATTCTTAGTTATTTGAAGCTTTGTGTCCCTTTGGAGACGCAACAACCCCAGTTGTCATGGGGTTTCTTCTTTCCTTGCCTCCTTGCAGGCAAGCCGGTCAAATAACAGGGTTATTAAAACAAACGAAGAACAATTCAAAGGACGGAGGAAGGTTTCAAGCTGTTACCTAACAGGAAAAATAGAACCTCAACTCTGGCTCATTTCGCTCCCTGAGAGTTGGCATTTTCATTTGATAAAGGCTTTGATTTCCTTCTGATAAAGGCAAGAATAGTTTCGTCAAAGCATAGATGAAGGCTGTGAGGCCGGAGGGAAAACAGGATACTTACCGGGAGACACCTAGAACAAAGGAAGATAAAGTAAAGCTCACAATGTACGTCACACATTGCAGCATACAGAAGTGTGGTACTCCCCTTTCTTGTGCTGGGCCAAGAGACAGCCCGTCAGCAGTTAAAACGTTGGAACTCAAAGCCACCTCAGGACACTCAAAGTTGGGACATGCTCGCCCTACCGTCTCGGTGTCTAAGGAACATTTTTAATGCACCAAACCTGGTCCCTCTTAACTCCTAAAGAAAGATAGTCCTGGATTTACAATGGTTCATTTAGTGACTGTTCAAATGGCACTGGAAAAAAAAATTACTTCCCCGAAAATAAGTTCCAACTGGAAGATAAGGCTTAGTGTGATTTTTCAGGAGGCTCATAAGATAAGTGCTAGCCCTCAAAATAAGCCCTAGTTAAGATTGTCCACCAGATGGACACATTCAGGACTGTATTTCCCCCAAAATAAGACCCAACTGGAAAATAAGGCTTAGCATGATTTTTCAGGATGCTCATAAGATAAGCTCTACCCCCAAAATAAGCCCTAGTTAAGATTGTCAGCCAGATGGACACCGTAACCTAACCCTAACCGTATTTCCCTCAAAATAAGATCTAACTGGAAAATAAGGCCTGATGCAGCAAAAAATAAATATAAGATCCGATCTTATTTTGGGGGAAAACACGGTATGACCTTTTCTCACACTTAACAACCATTGCAGCATCTCATTTGATCAAAATTCGGATGTTTGGCAGCTGACTCATATTTATGATGGTTGAAGTCTCTTTTTGTGATCTTCTGACAAGCAAAATCGAAGAGGAAGCCAAGAGTTGCTTCCCAACCGTAGAACTTAATAAGCTGAGACGATTCACTTAATAACCATCTCAAAAGAAAGTCGTAGCAAAAGTCACTGCAGAAATGCCTTACTTTGCAGCAGAAATGTTGGGCCCAATTGTAAGTCGAGGACTACCTGTATAAAATGTTGTGCCCATGAGTGAATAATTTATTCTGAAGGATTGAATATTCCCTGCCTCTTTTATTTATCTCCATTTCCCCAGGATTCCCACCCACCCACGCCAAACAAATCTTGACTGTGTTACTTCCCCAGAATGAAGGAATGTGTATTCTGCATTCACACACAAAATATATATTTGAATAGAGGTACTTTAAAGGAAAATAATTGTCAAGTTGTATCTTGCAATTCTCTTGCAGAATCGTGGGCGTCTTTTTATTTAATTTTTAACACGTCGCTGCTTTGAGAATAATAGTTGTTCAACTGTTTTATCCAGATACTAGTTTTACAAGATAATCCTTCTGGCAGGCTTTTATTGGTAAATTCCTAATCATTCTGTCTTCTGTAAACAATACTGTAATTTGCATTGAATCTGTCTGTGTGTGAACACTCCTTTGTGGAAAAAAGTTAACACAGGCAAACTTTTATTTGATTTCACGTAGTTGCACAGGCATCCAGCCAAACTCTGGGCCGCTGACAACCCGAGAAACAAAAGAATATGTACAACAATAAAAACAAGAGAAATAGTATAAGAAACCCAGAGTAGATATTCAGTTCCCTTTTTTTTTTCAGGAGATTGCATAAAATAAACTGAATCCTGCTGATAAAGATTGCAATATGTGAGTTCTTTAAAAAAAAAAATCAGATTTAAAATAATAATAGCAGGGTGTTTGATGGCCGGATGCCCTTCCTGTCACCCGGGCGGAGTTTTGTTCTGCAGATATATTCTCATTGTGCCCAGAGAGAGAAATATCTGCCTCTTTTTTGGGATCAAACTCACAGCCTCCTGATTGTGAGGCGAGAGCTCCACCTCTAGTCCACCGTACAACTCTACAAAACAGGATCACATGACCCGGGATATTACAGCTCTCATAAGTACATGCCAGTTGCCAAGCTTGATCACATGACCATGGGGTTGCTGCAATGGTCGTGTGATAAATGGTCACAAGTCGCTTTTTTCAGTGCCGCCGTAACTTAGAACGGTCGCTATAAACAAACAGTTAAGTCGAGGACTGCCTGTCTATCTGATTCCTCTCCCCACTCTCCAGCTTTCCTCTGAATTCCTTTTCTGGTTGTCTTGGGCTGCTTTTCATAACCACCTGTGTTACCTCTCGTAGGACAACCCTCCATACGACAAGGGGGCGTTCAGAATCGAAATCAACTTTCCTGCAGAGTATCCATTCAAACCTCCCAAGATCACATTTAAAACGAAAATCTATCACCCTAACATCGATGAAAAGGGGCAGGTTTGTCTGCCAGTAATTAGTGCTGAAAACTGGAAACCAGCCACCAAAACTGATCAAGGTAAGAGATCTCCAGCCGTTTGGGCTATCGATTTCTGTACTAGGTCTTAATTTTTGGGAAGGGATCTCGGAGCCTAAGCGTGCCGGGCTCTTTAAATCTTGTGATGAAAATCACTTTTGAGGGAGAACGAATTCTCATTTTTCTCATTCTTCCCTCCCTAGCTTAGTTTAAAAATCTGAATTTATCGCAAAGGATAAAAAGACGTGAAATTTCCAGGCAGCTAGCTACATCTGAAAAACGATATGTCCAGTATTCAGGGCGTGTACGATCGACCTTGTTCATCATATCTCCTGAATAAAACCCCATTTAGGTAGCCGTAAGGTAGTTATAGTACGCTTTCAACCAATTCTTAAATGGATTATTCTAATAGTCCAAGATGAGCTTTGATATTCCTCATCCAGCATTCTTTGTTTGCTCGTGTGCTAGAGTGTGGATTCAGAACCGAGTTTCTCTCTTTGTTTCTGCCAGAAAAAGCTTTACACACGCATTATTTTGCACACACAGAGTAGCTCCTCCATTCATAAATCTGAATATACCGCCATTATGGCGGCTGATCCAATATGAAATATACCAGTGAAGATTGTCGTACGTAATGGCTCCAGATGTAATGTAATTTGTCCCAGTTTGCTTTAGCACGTTCCAGTCAGTCGTGGTTTATTTAGCCAACCATGGCCAAAGCTGGGCTTGAAGGCTGCACTCAACCTTTGAAGGACAAAGTTGAGGAACCAGAGCCTTAAAAAAGCAGCAATTGTAGGGCGAACATTTTCATTTCTGTTTGCATTCAGTTCAGATTTAAACCCGATGGCTTACATGACAACTTTTTTGGTCGTTCATTCCATACATGCATTTCAAACTTTCCCAGTTCTCTTCCATTAAAAAATAGAATTTGGAAAACATTTGTGGAGGACTTAAGTGCCATTCCCAAGGATTCGAGTGCCACCTGCTCAGAGTCCCCTGAACTGCAAGATGGGTGGCAAATAAATTGGATAATCAATCTATTACTAATCAATAAATCTCGGGGATCTGCAAATCGATGGTTCTGCCTCTCTTTCCCAGCCACGCTGATCTCTCTTTTTCTTCTTCCTTCCTTCTTTTCCCCCTCTTTCTTTCTTCTTTCCTCCCTCCCTCCCTCCCCTCTTCGCCCCCACCTTCCTTTCTCTCGACAGTAATCCAGTCCCTCATAGCACTGGTGAACGACCCCCAACCAGAGCACCCCCTTCGAGCCGACTTAGCCGAAGAATACTCTAAGGACCGTAAAAAATTCTGTAAGAATGCTGAAGAGTTTACAAAGAAATATGGTGAAAAACGACCAGTGGACTAAAAACAACAACAACGACAACAACAAAAACAAAACACAACAAAACAAAAACAACAACAACAAAAAATACACCTGACCGAGTTGATGTCAGCAATGTGTGATAGAAGAGCTGAAGAAGAGCATTTCAGACACACCCAAAAAGCAGGACTCTCTATGGAAATTGACAAGTGTCACCTCTTGGTGTTAACTTGTGGCTGTTAAACTAACTTTCTACCGTTTCTTAATCAAAAGTGGTCTAGGTAATCTGTAAAGAAAGGATTAAAAATTTAAGATGTTCTAGTTCTGCTTTCTTTGTTTAAAATCACTGCTTTAATGTACTTTAAAAAATGCTGTTTCCTTTTCCTTTCTCTTTTTTGTTTTCTCCTGGTCACAATTTATCAGAAAAAAAGTCTTAGGCTTATAACTTGCCCTTTAAATTCAGAAGGTCATGGCTGTTGTTTCTTATTTTCCTTTGCAAATCTCTCTCTTTTTTTTTTTATTCCCCATTTTTTTGGTTGCCCCTTATCCTTCCCTCCTCCCTCCCTCAGACAGAAGAAAACAAAACCACAGCTACTTAATTTCTTAGCAAAAAGAAAACAGAAAGACATTTTTTGGGGGAAAAATAAGAGCTGTTTGTTTTCCCTGTCTTAAAACGTTGCACTGTGTTTTGTGGACATGGGTCCAAGTTTTTTTCCGACTTTGGTTTGTCACATAAACGAATCTGCCGTATGTACTCCAAAAAAAAAAAAAAAAAAACCCCAAACCCCACCAGAATCAACCCCAGATCTGTTGTAAATCTGGCTGATGTGGTTACAATAATGTTTATTAAATGGGGAACTCCAAGCTTTGCTTGCAGGAAGGAATTGAATGGCTTGTATTCTGTTCAGGGGGAGGACATTTTGGCACAAAATATCCTTTAGCAAAGCGGAGTGTAATTTTCTTTCCCTTCCCTCTTCCCCCCCACCTTCCCTTTTTTTTAAAAAAAATTACTCTCCACTTTTATTCTTTAGTGTCTATGCAGGCTACCTAGAATAAAGAAGGACTCGAGTCCATTTGCGAAAATTTCAAATATGGGACCAAGAGGTACCAAAACAGAATTAAATTACCAACTAACCAACTAAACCCACCTCCTTATCCTGTATACTTCCTAGCTGAGAGACTTAACTGGGGGAGATCCTTCTGGAAAACTTAGTTCTGAAGAACAAAAACCTAGTCACAAAAAATTCTTCAGTTGACCTCTTTTCCCTGTGCAAACGACTAAACTTTAATTTTTCTTCTAATAATGGATTGGTTTGATTGATTGTCGTCCCAAACGTAAGCAATTTCCATTAAGCAATAACCCGTGCCCATCGTGAAATCGAGCAGTTGCCTTTCTCCGCAAAATAATAACCTGTACATGACATGTGGCATTCTAGGAGTAATATTGATTCAACAGCGTCGATTCAACCCCAGCTATCCCTGCTCTCGATCGGGCGTGTGACGTTCTTTCCCACGGAGAACCGAACCACCCCGTTTTAGGATGTGTCGCGTTTTAGGATGGGCAAAAATGCAACTTAGTTTACGTGACACAGTGAATTTTTCCCCAGGCTGCTCTAAAATGCTTTAAAATGCCTGGCTTTTAAGTGAGCGTTTCAAACCCATTTCTGTGAAAACTGCAGTGAAGAACCAAACCCCAGTGCGTAAATAAACATTTCTGTTTTGCATGTCTTCGCTTTCATAGATCTCTCGGCATTCCGGTGGGTTTTAATTTTTTCAGGAATCTGGAATCCTTGTTCAGTCTTTAGGGAATGAATGTATGGTTGGGGAGCTGTAGAAATAGCATTTCAAGTTTTAATTATTATTATTATTTTGCATACACCCTTCCATCTCCTCCACTCCAGCTTTTGATTTTAAACTGTACAAGATTGACAGCCAAGTACCTCTGTTTGAAAAGTAGAAAGAAAGAAAGAAAAAAGGCAGTTTTTTTTCCTTATCAGTTGGGGTATGAAACATCTGTTTTAAGTGTTCTTAGACACATTCTTTGGTAGGCGATTAAAGTTTAAAAAAAAAAAAAACCTTAATGGACACTTGCATTTTCCTTAATATGTGTGTGTAGGCTTGGTGACCAGCACTTGTCTATTACCAAAATCTCCACAACTTTTGTGTCTTCGTTTGCAGAAAGTTGGAACTGACTTTGTTTCATTCACGCTCACTCCGATTCAAAATAAACAAAAAAAATGCCAAATTTTACCTGTCAAACTGAAGTGTATATAAAACCCTGCCTTGCAAGACATTGCAAAAAAAAAAAAATTGTCCTTTTTCTTTTAGTTGTTGTTCCATATGCAGCTCTTTAACTCTTTTTACTTCGATATTGGGGAATGGGCGGCGGGGGGGGAATCAGTCTCTCTTTTTAAATTGCAAACATCTCTTAAGTCGAATTGCAAATATGTCCATGGGTGCTTTCGGAGCAGAGAACATAAAAAATCTGGATAATTTAAGGCGCCGACATTCAGAATCCCCATCTTATCTTGGTTACTTTGAACCGCAAAAATCTTAACTTCTCCCCTGTGGGTCAGATTCCTGCACTCAAGCCCAGTAATTGTCAGCTGCATTTGTGCAAATAACACAACACCTGTCCCTCAGTCTTTACCTATAACCAACTACCCATCTACAAACTCACCTTGTGAGCGTCCTTATTCTCTTTCCCTTTTCTGGCTACCAAAATGTAATTTTCCCGGGCTATATCTACAGCTAAAATAGGCTTGCTTCTGTCCAACAACATCTTAAAATATCCCAGCCCTTCTCTCTTCCCCACCTCCCACCCCCACCCCGGGCCTTCTTTCTGTGAGATTCCCAATTTTTCCCTTTTGTTTTCCCGTGGGAAGATCTCCCTACCCCCCCCCCAATGGGGGCTGCAAAATTCAAAAGACGGATTTCCAACAAGGTGCAAAATGGGCACGAGCCTCGCGTGAAACCAGGGGAGTGGTGAATAATTTTGAAGAAGAGATGGATAGCGGAGAGCCTCTTTCGATGTACCCGAGAGGTGATTTTAGAACATAGAAATCTAGGACCTTGGGGAGTTTTCCAGTCCAACCCCGTTGATTCAAGGCAAGAGACCTTATACATCCAAGCCAAAGGTGGCCCGGTCTTATTTTTGAAAACCTCCCGTTTTCATTTCTGCAAGAGATGTGAGCTGATGGCCCCTTCGCCCAAACCAATTTTTTTCAGCTGCTTGGGGATTCTTGTGACTGTTGGGGTGTTAACAGGTCTTGCTGTCTTTTTTGGCTGTTATGCACTGTATGTACAAACAAATTAGCTTTGTTAGATTAGATTTTGAAGCCCGAATAATGGTTTAAAGGCTTGCTTCCGTTCCAAATGACCAAATTTTGACCGTGGGGATGTTGTTGTAAGTGCAAGGATCAGCGTAAGTCACTTTTTTAAAGGTCTGTTTTAATTTTGGTTGCTAAATGAATCGTAAATTGAGAAGACTGCAGTTTTTTTAAAATAATGACTTTTTGATGAATGGATTAACTTTAAATAACACTATTGCACTTCTATGTGCTAAGCTGAATCCCTCCTTTCTCTCTCTCTCTCTTTTCCTTTCCTTCTTTCCTCTTTCTTTTTCTCTTGCTCTCTCTGTTTTTCTTTCTGTTTTTCTTTCTTTCTTTCTTTCTTTCTTTCTTTCTTTCTTTCTTTCTTT